GTTAAGAGGGGCACAGGAGGTCAGAGGGGTCACAGGGGCAGAGGGGGTTATTGGGGGCACAGGGGAGCTTGGGGGGCACAGGGGGTTATGGGGGTCACAGGGACATGGGGGGTTATGGGGGGCATGGGGGTCACGGGGGTGGGCAACAAGAGGGGGACATGGGCCCCTCCCCAATTTCTCCCCCCCATTTCCCCCCCCGAGCCCCCTCCCCAATTTCTCTCACATCGTTTGATGCCCCCCAGTCCCTCCCCAATCTCTCCCCCAGCCCCATTTCCCCCCAGCCCCCTCCCCAATTTCTCCCCCCCATTTCCCCCCAAGCCCCCTCCCCAATTTCTCCCGCCCCGAGCCCCCTCCCCAAATTCTCACATCGTTTGATGCCCCCCTGGCCGCTGCCCCCCCCGCCGCTCTGCTGCTTCTTCAGCGCCAGCAGCGCCTTTTTCTGGGGGGGGGACACAAAAATGGGGTTCAGGGGGGGCTGAGACCCCCCCCAGGGCACCCCCAGACCCAAAACCCCCCGAGGAGCCCCCCCAGACTGCCAGAACTGCCCCACAGCCCCAAATCCCCCCCAAAAACCTCCCAAATCTCTCCAAAATCCCCCAAAAATCCTCCTGGGATCCCTCAGAAATCCCCAAAATTCTCCCAAAATCCCCTCAAATCCCCCAAACCTCAAAAATCCCCAAAATTCCCCCAAAAGCCCCCAAAATCTCCCCAGAATCCCTTTGAACCCCCCCCAAAATCCACCAAATTCCCCCAAATGCCCAAAAGCTCCCCAAAATCCCCCCAAACCCCCCCAAAATCCCCCAAAATCTCCCCCCAAAATCCCCTAAAACCCCCCAAAACCCCCTGAAACTCCCCAAAATCTCCCCAAAATCCCCCCAAAATCCCCCCCAAACCCCCCAAATTCCCCCAAATCTCCCCAAAACCCCCTGAAACTCCCCCAAAATCCCCTCAAATCCCCCCAAAATCCCTTTGAACTCTCCCAAAATCCCCTAAAATCCCCCCCAAACTCCCCAAAACCCCCCAAATTTCCCCAAATCTCCCCAAAACCCCCTGAAACCCCCCAAAATCTCCCCAAATCCCCCCAAAATCCCCTCAAATCCCCCCAAAATCCCCCAAAATCTCCCAAAATCCCCCCAAAAAAACCCTAAAATCCCCCCAAAATCCCCCAAAATCCCCAAAACCCCCAAATTGCCCCAAATCCCCGGTCCCGGTCCCGGTACCTTTTTCCGCAGTTTCCCGAACCGTTTCTGCAGCGCCTCCTCCTCCTCACTCAGCCCCGGCGGCAGCGACAGCATGGCGGGGACGGACCGGGACACCGGGGGCACCGGGGGGCACCGGGGGGCACCGGGAGGTACCGGGGGTCACCGGAGACACACCGGAGGGTCTGGATGGCGTCACTGAGGGGTACCGGGGGTCACGGGGGGTCACCGGGGGTCAGGACGGGGTCACTGAGGGGTACCGGGGGTCACTGAGGGGTACCGGGGGGTCACCGGGGGGTACCGGAGGGCACCGGAGTGTCAGGACGGGGTCACTGAGGGTACCAAGGGGTACCGGACGGTACCGGGGGGGTCACTGAAGGGTACCGGGGGGTACCGGACGGTACCGGGGGGGTCACTGGAGGGTACCGCAGGGCACCGGAGGGTCAGGACGGGGTCACTGAGGGGTACCGGAGGGTACCGGAGGGTCACCGGGGGGTTACC